CAGCCCTGGCCAGCCGCAGGGGGCTCCGCCGCCCAGCCCCAAGCCGGACGGCGCTCCGCCGACGCCGTTCCCGGGGCATGCCGGGCCCCGGGCGCCGGGTGTCCCTGGGCCGCGCCTAGGGCCGCCTCCCGCTGGCGGTCCCGCGACCGCCCCGCCCCACTGGCCGATGAGTATAGTCGGCGGGGAGGGAGGCGTCCTCCCTACGGTGCCGCGGGCCGAGGCCGTCCCGGGGCCGGTGGGGCTGCTGCCTGATGCCGGGTTGGTGGGCCCCCCGCCGCCGGCGCCCCTGGGGCAGGCGGCCGCCCCCGCTGACCCAGGCACCCGCGGGCCGCCACCTGGGCAGCCGCCGACTGTGACGCGGGCGCCGTTCCCGCTCGCCGGGCTGCTGAGCGCGCCCGGCTTGCAGTGCGCCGACGCCGCGCGCGCGGCGGGACAAGCCCGCGGCGCGGCGGCGGGCCGCGGCCAGTCGGCGCCGGCCCGCGCGGCGACGAGGGGCACCGCTGCGCCGCGGGCGCCGTCGGGTCATCCGCTCTGCGCCTGTGGCTTGGATCTGGCAGCCTGCGGAGCCTGCGGCCGCGGCTGGGCGCAGGTCGCGCCCGGCGCGCCGCCGGCGCCCGCGGGCGGCCCCGGGCAAGTCGAGGAAGGGCCGCGCGCGACGGAGGTCGCGACGAGCGAGAGCGGGGCGGCAGCGGACACGGCGGCCTGGGAGCGCGATACCCTCCAGTGGCTGACGGGAGGGTTGAGAGAAGCGGCGGACCTGATCGAGGAGACGGGCCTCCCCCTGCCGCAGGCGGTGCAGTACGTGCAGCAATTCGCGGCGGACGCCGCGGCGGCGGCCGCCCAGGCGCGGGGACCGGAGGGGGCAGGCAAGGCGCCCCCCGCCCTTGGCCCCCCGGCCGAGGCCCCGCGTGGCGGCCCCGTGGAGTGGTGCCGTGACCTGACGAGCAGAGTGAACGTCGCCGCCCAGGGCGCGAGGCCGGCCTGCCCGGGAGCGCAGGTGCAGTTCGTGGTCGAGTTTGTGGCCGCCAAGCCTGACGCCCGCTCCGTCGGGGAGGCCATCCGCGACCTCCACGGGCCTGGTGGCCCGCAGGTGCCCGTGCAGACGCTCGTGGAGGCGGACGGCGCGCGCTGGGTGCGGCCGGCGGGGTGGGCGGCGGAGAAAGGCGGGGACGCTCACGTCCTGGTTCTCCGCCTGTTCGCCCCCCCCCGGGCGGGCTTGAACAAGACCACCACGGTCTCCGTGCGCTGGGCCCACTCCTCGAAGACCGTGACCATTCAGGGCATCAAGAGTAACATCGTCGACTTCGCCCCGAAGTGGGTGGAGGCTTTCGGCCAGGTCAAGGGCGTCAAGGTGGTAGGGCCCAACACGGGGGCGCCGACGCTGCTGCGCAACGCCCGGGCTGCGCCCTCAGGGAGGGGATGACCGCCGCGCGGTAGCGCTTGTCGCCGGCCACGCCCGCCCCCCCCCGCGCCCAGTCCTCCCCCTCCCCACCGCCTTGGATGTCCTTCCCCCTGCCCCAGCTTGCCCCCCGCCCCCTCCGCGCCGAGGGCCGGCGCATTTTTGTTTTTCTTCTCTCGTTCGTTCCCCAGCAGTTCTACCGGTCGCGGCAGGGGCGCGCTCCACAGGGAAGCCTCGGCTTGGGCCGGGCTGAGCGAGGAGGGCGCGCGGCGCGCCCGACGGCCGAGCCAGCGCAGGGAGAAACCTGGCATGGGCCGGGTTCGGCGCGCTGGCACGGTGAGGTCGGGGCATCGACCCGGCCGCGTGATCGGCAAAAGCACCGCCTCCCGGCTCCCCCCCCCCCGTCGCAGCGGCGCGCCGAGTCGCAGTCGCCGCCGTCGTTGCCCGCGGCGCGTGGGCCCGCGGGCGCTGGATTCTGGGCCGGCGGCGCCGCGGCCCAGACTCGGGCCCCGGGCGGCTGGGCGCACGGGGGCGGATCCTGGGTCGACGGCGCGGGGGCCCAGAATCAGCCTCGGGGCGCTTGGATGCGGCGGGGGCCGCGCGTTGGGTCGGCGGGGCGGCGCCCGGCCCGGCCGGCTGGCCCCGCCCGCCGCCGCCCCCCGCGTCGCCGTATGTCCAGTCGCCGTCGCCGCCGTCGTCACCCGCGGCGCGTGGTCCCGTGGGCGCTGGATTCTGGGCCGGCGGCGCCGCGACCCAGAATCGGGCCCCGGGCGGCCGGGCGCGCGGGGGCGTTTCTGGGTCGACGGCGCAGCGGCCCAGAATCAGCCCCACGAGCGTGGAAGCGGTGGGGCCGCGCGTTGGGTCGGCGGGGCGGCGCCTGGCCGGGCCGGCCGGCCCCGCCCGCCGCCGCCGCCCCCCCCTTGTCGTCGCCAGCCCAGTTGCAGTCGCCGCCGTCGTCGCCCGCGGCGCGTGGGCCCGCGGGCGCTGGATACTGGGCCGGCGGCGCCGCGACCCAGAATGGGGCCCGGGCGGCTGGGCGCACGGGAGCGGATTCTGGGTCGACGGCGCGGGGGCCCAGAATCAGCCCCAGGGCGCCCGGATGCCGGGGGGCCGCGCGGTGGGTCGGCGGGGCGGCGCCCGGCCCGGCCGGCCGGCCCCGCCCGCCGCCGCCCCCCCCCGTGTCGCCGCTCGTCCAGTCACTGTTGCGATCAGCCCCAGGGAGCCTGGAAGCTGTGGGGCCGCGCGTTGGGTCGGCGGGGCGGCGCCCGGCCCGGCCGGCCGGCCCGCCCGCCGCCGCCGCCCCCCCCTCGTGTCGCCGCCAGGACGAGGCCCGACCGCGGGCGGTGCGCCGCCCCGCCCTCCTTCCCTCCCCCCGCCGCCCCTGCCGTGGCAATTTCTGGCTCTCGTGCGCCGCGGCCGCGGCGGCTGGCCGGCCGCGACCGCCCGGCATGGCGCAGCCCGGCACCCCGGCGCTCGCGGCCTGGGCGACGGGCGAGGCGGCCGCGGCGGCGGCCGCTGAGGCGCGCGGCTGGGAGGCGGCCGACGTCCCCGGAGAGGGTGGGCGACGCCGCGAGGCAGCAGCGTCCTTCTTGCGGGACGTCCGGGCGCTCCAGGCGGCCCGGCCAATTTTCCCCACAGGCCCGCCAGGAGGCCCGGTAGCGCGCGCGTTGGTGCAGGGCGGCTTGGGGACGTGGCGAACGTTCGACACGGCGCTGGCGACGACCCTTCAGAACTGGCGCGCGCGGCTGGAGCTGGGCGGGCATGGGGCACTCTCGGGGCGCGTTCTTGGAGCTTGGGAGGGCGCTCTACCGGTGCAGGAGTGCGTGGCCGCGCCCCGGGCGGCGCGCGCCGCGCCGAGAGTCCTGGCGGCGCTCAACGTGCAGGGGGGCTTTGGCGCGCGCGGGGGCGTGGGCACCCAGGAGGCCCGGATCGTTTCGGTGCTCGAGCGGCTTCGAGCAGCGCAGGTAGCGGCGGCGGCCATCGCGGAGCCTCGACTCGGGCCTGGCGCGCGTTGGCCAGACGCGGGTTACGCCTTCTATGGCGAGCGGTCCTCGTCCCCGGGCACAGTTGCCGTGCTGGTCCACGAGTCGCTCGGCGAAACGACCGCCCCCGTGGCCGATGTGGGCGACGAGCGGGCGATCTGGCTGCCGCTCCCGGGGGCTAAGGGCGGCGGCGTCCTCGTCCTCGCGGCCTATGGGCCGCCGCCTGCGCACGGAGGGCCCGACGACAATTCTGGGACGCGCGGTTGATGGAGTGGCGGAGGCTGGCCCTCCAGCCCCAATTCCGAGGGTGGTCCCTGGCGATCCTGGGTGACGCCAACCTGCACTTCGCAGACTTGGCCCCAGCGAGCGAGCGCTACGAGGGGCCCTTGGAGCGTCACGTCCGGGAGCTCTTGCGGGCCACGGAAGGGTTCGACGCCGTGGTCCGCAACCCGCGGGCCACGCCCACGCACGCATCGGGCACGGCCATCGACTGGGTCGCAACGTCGCAGGACCTGCAAGCGGCGGTGGAGGTCATCCCGCCGGGCGCGCCTGGTGTCCCCGCGGACCACGCCCTCCTGCTCGCCCGCTTGCCCGGGCAGATGCGGGTGGACGAGGCGCCGAACATTGGCCGGGCGCGGTGGCGCGGGGACGCGGACTGGGCGGGCGCGTTGGCCGGCGCCGCGGCGTCGCTGGCCTTCATCGCCGGCTGGGCTGCGGTCGCTTCCCGGGACCCGACCATCCGCGCCTGGCTCGCGGCGGGGCAGTGGCGCGGCGCGCGGCAGGCAGTGCTGGACCATGCAGTGTGGTGGCGGGCCGTGGTTGTCGCCATCCGGGGGCATTTGAGCGGGCTCGTGGCGGTCCGATGGCCGAGGCGCCCGACCAGGGCAGGCCTCGCCAGGCCCCCGCGGGCCGGCCCCCCGCCCCCCCCGGCGGAGGAAGGTCCGGGCGGCGCCGCTGCCGCGACCCTCGGAGCGCTCGCGGACGCGCGGGCCAGGCAGATGCGCCGATATTTGCGTCTGGCGGCGGCGGCGCCCGGCGAGGCCGAGGCTTTCCTCAGT